CAGCTCCCAAGTGACTGTGCCTCCACTGTTCCAAATACAATGGCTACGTAGACAGGAGTCACAGTCATCTGGCGCACACGTGATAATAAAATAAATGCGGTATTTACTATATGGGGGCCGCCATCTTGAATACAGCACGAACCTAAAGAAAGACCCAAGTTGTGAAACGCGTTTTTCAGATTCCTACAAATCAGGATAAAAAATACCAATCTTTCATGAGAATAGCGCCCCCAACTGCCAGTTCAAAGTATCCTTTCAAAATGGCCCATCGCCCTTTTTAAGCCCAAAGTGGAATTTTATTCAAACAAAAATTCAGTTAAATCTGCAATTAGGATTTGGAATCAATAATACACGACTTTGCAGTACCTGTTACCATGGCAATATCTAATTATGATGAAGCTTCACACCCTTAAATTATTGTTGTATTTGCTTGATTTGCATATTATAATTTGCCAACTTATATTTCTACTAATTCGAAAATAATAATTTGTAACGCATTTTGTTGTAGGTTGGTTGCCAAACTATTACTACAGCCATGGTGGGTAAGTGCTGTAAAATTCTTTATATTACTATTTTTGTAATTTCCTAAATATGTTCAATATCGATATTTCTATTGCATTAAACCATAGTGAAACTATGAAAGCCTTGCTCATGACCGGAAAATACATAGGACAGGCAAACTTTCAAATTTCGAAAATTTGAAAAATGGCATATGGACCTGCATGGAACATCATTCCGTTACTTCATTTGATATGTTTGCCTTAGATGCCTGCCTGACCTTGTACATTACAGTGTCTTACCTTTTAATTCCTCTTTTTCTTTTTCTAGTCATATGTCGTTCAATGATCGTGTTGATCGAGTGGTTGAATGGCTGGAAAAGAGTAAGAGCAGTCGGCCGGATGTCATCATGTTGTACATGAATGCCACCCGCTATGGTACTTACAAGGAAAGACGAGAAGATTTAGAAGATGCTGACGAGGCTGTCGGCCGTTTGATGGGTGGACTGACTATGCTGAACTTACGAGATTGCTCAAACGTAATACTGGTTGCTGATTGGACGTTGACAAATAAGTCATGCAATCGAGTATTCAATATTGATGATGTAAGTGAAATGTTTTAAATTAAATGAATCTCAATGTTGCGTCCTCTGCAGTGCTCCAAACCCAACACACGCCTGACAGAATGATATAGTTTTCACTTCCCTAGACGATTTTTTGGGCGGTACCAATCAAATTGCAGGAACATTAGATAGTGACAACCATCAATAAGTAACCATTTACGGCAGAGTTTATTTATTTGTTGACAGAATGTGTGATGAGGTGCTGGTAAATTTCCGCCCAATGTTTATCATTTTGTTGAAAACAGTCTGTGATTTTTGCCGACAATGCAAACACGGCTTTAATTGACGGTGTTACAATGACCACCAAAATGATTATTTATTGCAAGAAGGGGTGAACTTTGCAAGTTCGCAGTATTGATTTTGCTGACGAGACATATACTATTCTGTCAGGCGTTAGTGAGGTCTGATGCCGTTCGGCCGGTAAGGGCCTGCTCATGCCTACATGTCGGGCTATATTTAATTATAAGTTGTTAGTTAATTATTACATATTTTTAAGCAAATAAATTTGTCCTCGACTTAATAATACTGACCAAATCTATCCTATTATGTGTTATATATGCCCCCTAGTGGTGGATATTGACAGATGTACTGAATTTGTTTTTTATTTCAGTATGTGACCGACTTGGATAATTATCAGATTACCCCTGATTGGCTTAATAGTGTCAAGAGATTGAATTACACTTATAATCCCTATCCTAATGATTACACTGACGGTGAGTTGTTGGCATGTATTTCATTCACTGCATTTTGCACACTGTTAATGCCATATTGTTCTGAATACATTGCGAGTTGCTGACATGACCAGAGATCCTTACGTAAGATGATTTTTATGAACATTATTTTGTATATTGTATTCAGTCTATATCAATACCATCTAAAATATGATAAAAAAGGTATTATTCCTACGTCTGATATATTTATGTATTTTTATATTATAGTTGTTGAATACGAAAGTACAGAAACAACCATTGAGCACTTTAAGGTATGATGGGAAGTATTGCATATTAAGATAGAGGACTACTCATAAATGCAAACCAAGAATTTAATCATTTAATAAATTGTACTACAAGGCAATGAAAGCATGTTGTCTTGGAATTGGGGGTCACCAGCCTAAGTTTTAGAGAAAATGATGATTGTATTTTAGTGGATAGTTGCCATTTTGGCAAAATTGTAACGCTTTTTCAATAGGTTACTATGGCAGGGATATTATGCCATATCTCAAATTGTATCCCGGAGACATAGGCTGAAAGTATACTAGTAATATTGTTAATGATGGGGTGCGTTTTGTTTTCCTGAATTATTTCAAATTTCTGGGTTTTAAAAAGTGTAAAAAAAAAAAATGCAATTTTGTTTAACATTACGCCCTATGGAATTGTTCTAAAAAATAGCGATTTTTGAAATATTTGGACAAGTTTCCCAAAATGTAACTCACAAACAAATGCTAATTTATGGTGCCATGGGACAATAGCTTCATGATTGTACATAATAAACCAATAAACATTGTCATGTGATTTTCACAAATATTATTAGTAGACTATTTGATCTCTACTTGAACCCCTGCCAAATATAAAATTATTAGACTGAGCAAGTTTTCCCTGTGATGTCATTATCAAAGTTATTGATAACTTTATCACAGTACAATGGATATACAAATGCAAATCTATTGCGGCCAGCAGTGATGGCACCCATCCAATGTTCTGGGGGCATAAAATTGGTTGCAATGGAAAAAACTTTTAATTAATTTATTCCACCTTTATTTTTCAGTGTAAGAATAGCTTTGTACAAACTTATGCAAAAGAGGAGTTACCAGTGCGTCTCCACTATGTGAACTCACCAAGAATTGAAAATATTGTCATGGTTGGTTCCC